ATCCACAACCTGTTGTTGCGTGGAGTAAAGTCAATGGTTCATTACCAAAAGAGAGATTTCTTGTCGACAGTAGCGGGAAACTGGAATTGAAGAATGCCACTATTCCTGATTCAGGGACGTATCAGTGTAAAGCTTCCAATATTCTTGGCAGTGCAGAAGACAAATCAGAAATCGAAGTGAACTTTAGTCCTCGAGTATCCTTAATGAAAGGACCAATCTACGAAATGGTTGGTGATGATATTCGTCTACCCACCTGTCATGTGACAGGATTCCCTGAACCAAAAGTCACGTGGTCTAAGTCTATTGGTTCTTTGCCTAAAAATCGTTTTGTTTTCAGAGATGGACAGTTTACTGTACTAAAAGCGAAAACAGATGATTCGGGCACATATGTTTGCAAAGCTGAAAATCGTCTTGGATCTACTGTAGGATCTCTTTTCGTAAATGTTATCGATCTGCCTGTGTTTGTTGTCAAGCCACCATTGTCGTATACAGTTCTTGTAGGGACAACTGTAGTGTTAAACTGTACCGCTAAAGGTGACCCTCAGCCTGTCATCAGCTGGAGAAAAGACAACGGCGTTCTTCCTGTTGGTAGATATGAAGTGAGAGATGGCTCTTTGATTATAAGGAACGTCAAGAAAACAGATTCGGGTTCGTTTGTGTGCACTGCTACGAGTGCTGGTGTATTCAAAATAGAGACTAGACCAACACTATCTGTATACTGGAGAAACTGCGCAGGGTTTTACAAAATAGGAGAGAGACGTAACGGTGTGTACACAGTTCAACCCGACAAGCAGCCTGCATTTCAAGTCTACTGTGACATGACAACTGACGGTGGGGGTTGGACGGTGTTCCAACGAAGACAAGATGGATCGGTTGAATTCTATCGCAATTGGCAGCAATACAAAACTGGTTTTGGAAATCTGAATGGCGAGTTTTGGTTGGGTAACGACTACATCCATCGACTGACAGCAACAACAGCGTCGAGTCTGCGCGTTGAGTTGGAGGACTGGGACGGAACTAGAAAGTATGCCAAATATGGTAGTTTTAGTGTTGGTGATGAATCAGACAAGTACAGGCTGAGGGTTGGCTCGTATTCAGGTACTGCTGGGGACTCGTTGATACCTGGTCATATCAACATGGCGTTTAGTACAAAAGATAGAGATAACGACATGTCGAGTCGTGGTAACTGTGCTAAATCATATACCGGTGCCTGGTGGTATAGTAATTGTCAGAATTCTAATCTGAATGGAGAGTACCTTGGAAACAAGATGTCGGCTAGAGGAATTATTTGGCACTATTTTCATAAAAATGATCAAAGTTTGAAAAAATCTGAAATGAAAATGCGTCTTAGTGGATTCTAATACGTAAGTAGCACAGTAAGATATCGCTTAAGTTATTTCTCTTTGTTAATTGTACAGAAATTTATCAGACAACCCCATTTGTGAACACGTGTGTGATACATCTAAAGTTAGTAAAGCTGAGATTACGGTCAGTAAGTGAATAAACTTCAGCGGAAAGGTTCCTTGGAGAAATCTCTTCTTATGTCCCAGCCAGCTGTAAGTCACAACTGGTTGCCAGCGAGAAATTCTGAAAAACAGAACTCTCCAGACAAGGAATACTTTCTAAGAATTTTTGTCAGGAAAATGACAATTTCCTAACTAAAAGATATAAGCCTTTTTGAGACTATAAAAACGTTATATAAGCCTTTTTGAACATAAAAACGTTTGCCAGGAATAAAATTGTTTTAAAGAAGGAAGGGCGCCACGTTTGCTTGTGAGATGTAGTTCACATGTAAATATGACATGGACTGCCCAGAGCTTTATTATAAAGAACTTTATAGAACTTTATTAAAACAAAATTTACATTGCAGATGCTAAGATAAACTTGGAAGCTGAATTGCGTAATTACATTTGTTACAAATATGTAAGCAATAAAATACTCGTGATAAAGAAAATACTAGAATAAAAGACAAGTATCTACACGTAGCCGTGTGTACACATTGATATACATTCTCCCCTTGTATTGTCATTTTAAGGTTTGAGTAGAAATGAGTTCTGCTATAATATAACTGATTGCAAATTCTAAAATTTGATAATTGCATTGTAACTACCTACGGTCCTGTCAGTAAGTTGTAAATTTTTAGTTCGTGTATGGTATACACTTAATGACTGTTCCCAGGGGAAACGGTTAGTTTTGTTTCCCGAGTATCTCAATGTTTCCCGAGGTACGCCGAGAAACTAACCGTTTCCCGAGGGAACAGTCATTAAGTACTTTGTTATATTGGTCAATTATGTGAATAAAAAAAAATCAAACACATCGCAAGATGATTCCAAATAATCATGAAGTAATAATACTTATTGTAAATATAATATTTGACCGTCGCGACAAAATAGCAAGATGTTAAGAGTAATTTTGCGTAACAACCAAGAAAATTTAAAATGACTTGGCAAGGCTACCTCAGCGATTCTCATGATATTCCATGCACTAATACTCTTTGGGTTACTGATCATCAAAAACCATTTGGTTTTTGGATTCTCAGTTTTCCTGATTTTTAAGAGCAGTCACTTTCTTTGGTGCCTCAAAACACAAATTTCAAGCTCAATTTGATGTACAAAATAAAGCCCCCAAAATGGTATTTTTACTTTCATAATCAGCAAATTTAGGGATTAGCCGTTGAAACACATCTTACTTTTATCGTAAATAGCATTTTCAGTTGAAATAGTTAAATCCCCAAACTTTGGGCTTCCTTTTTTGGAAGCCATATTTTGCTCGGTTTTCATAAGTCTGAAATTCCATATTTTGAAAAATTTGTATCTCCATATTTAAGGAATAAAAAACAGTTTATCAGTTTATCTGAGTATAATACACGGAAAACTGTTTTTATTGCTTTTATAAAATAACAAGCGCTCAAATATTCATGAGAAAAAAGCCGAAAAAAAAATGACGCGAGCGTGTATTATGCTCTCATTAAACACGGCTTTTTGGCCAATCAGAGCGCACGTAATATGAAAGTTATTTTATAAACCCAAATCAATCCATCTTTTGTTTGCAAACAAAGAACTTATCGATCTTTGAAATTTGCTAAAGAACAGTTCTGGCAAAGTAAGTTTTCCTATAAATATTTCACAATAGTATGTAGACCATGGTTTTGTGAAAACACGTAAATATGCCTTTATTTAATCGCTAATATATTTCTTAATTTACAGGATATGATATCAAAATCTACTCAAACATGTTGTAAAAAGACCGAAATGTCCATTTATACAATGTAAATGCACTAAAATGTCATGAGTTTTGCATTCTCAGCTCGTTTATATTGGTAATTTCGACTGACCTTACAGCATATTCGAATCAAAACATTTAACTCACTTTTAAAAATACTTTCGTGTGAAATAGGAATGTTTACCAGCTCTAAATGTTTCAATCACATCTTTAAATTAATTCTGGAGTACTTTCCAGGCAATCAAACGGTCTAGGAGTGAGTTTTTAGCAAAATAAAGGGTAGCTTCGACGATATTTGACACTTGATTTCTCCTCGAGCGAGTAAATAGATGAGGTGACGGTTTTGTCCGCCATTTTGGACCGGTAGGCATGGTGTCGCAAAATAACAAGGAATGACCGGGAAATCGATGTCAAATAATTCTCGCTGAATTCAAATTCAGAAAGAATTATCATTTGCAAACGTTAGATACTGCAAAAAGGAGTTAACTGGCCAAATTTGAAAGGCGAACTTGATCTAGAGAGCGAGTAAACTCATTTTTAGTTCTCCATACATTTCTTTGTAATTTCAATACATTTCGTTATCATTTCCGGGGTCATCAGTGCGTGACGCGCGTGAAAAATACATTGAAATGTATTGAGAACTAAAAATAAATTTTCTCGCTCCCTAGACGAAGTACATCCTTCAAATTTGGCCAGTCAGCTCCTTTTTGTAGTATCTAACGTTTGAAATTGATAATTCTTTCTGAATTTGAATTCAGCGAGAATTATTTGACATCGATTTCCCGGTCATTCCTTGTTATTTTGCGACACCATGCCTACCGGTCCAAAATGGCGGACAAAACCGTCACCTCATCTATTGGCTTCTTCAGTGGCTTATCTGTAACTTCACATCGACGAAATCGTAGCAAAAAAGAGTTCATATCAAGGTCTGCTTCTTTTCCTTCACAAGCTATTAGCTTTTGGTGGCTAACTTTGCGGTATACATTATGAACGCAGCCTAATTAGCGGATTTTTTCACAGTTACTGGACCTGGCCTGCAGTACGTGTTTTGACAGAGGGGGATTTTTTTAAACAGACTGTTAATACTTCAGTTGTGTAAAAAGATAAATTTAACACCGTAAAAAAGTAGGAGAAGTAACTTACTGACGTTTCGGACGTTAATCCTTCGTCGGAGTAAAAGTTAATACTTCAGTAAAATTATTGGGATGCAATTTTTGACGAAGAACCAAAGTGTGGTCACAATATATTTTTATTTATCTATCTATTTAATTATAATTTTTTCTTTTAATTTCAGGGGGGTACATTTTTGACATGATGTTTGAAACACACTGAACACAACTCACCCCCACCCCCTCTTGACTGGTGGGATGTCACATGGTTAAGTAATTCTTTTAAGTTGATTGCCACTGCACTTGGTTTGCCGATGTCAAGGTTAATATTTTCACACAATGGTTGTATCCTCTTCTGGTCGTCACCAGGCTGCTCAGTTGATATCAGGAGAGCATGGGGTCTGGTGCATAGTACAAGGGTAAGGAACGTTCAATAATAAATATTTGATATCCTCATTATCAGTATATTTGCAAAATAGAATTTACTCCAGTAATGTAAGCTATTGTGAAATTAGAATCCTTGACCTTTTTCTTTCTTTTTTCACAACTTTTAAGATCTGGACATGCAAGTAGTTTAATCCACAAAAATGTTTTGGGGCACTTTGAAAATAAATAGTGAATAGTCTGGTTATCTATTTTATAAATAAAAAAATGTACAATTTACTTTTGGATGAAACGGTCACAAAATCCACCATAAAAAATATCCACTGGGATGTTCAAAACAAAGAAACGTCAAGCTTGACGGGCTGCGTTCCTTTTGTTTTTGAGGTTGTTTACATTCTTTTGCCATCCAGTATGACGGATTTGTTTTCTATTTAAAAGTTGAAAAAAATATGGAGAGGGAATTCCTCCCCCCTACTTTCCCCCAATACTGTTGTTATATGACACTTATTTTGAATTGATTTTGTAGAACAACATCAAACTTTCCCATTCACCGTTTTCTTTTAACACAATTTTAGCTTTCAGCACAATTTGCATTTCATATCAAATCCAGTAGTTGTTGCGATCATAGCTTGCTGCCATTTAAGTCTTTCGCCATCATAAATAACTTTTATTTACTTCCAATCACGAATGCGTTAGTTTCACAAGTAAAACATTTTTTGAAAAAGAAATATTAACTCATTTTATTGATTAATAAGTCAGTCTTCCTGTTTGCTTCGTAACGTTTTATTTACTAAAATATGGCAAATAATTGACATAACTCTGTCGGTCATCAGTTTGTTGATGTGCTGTCGTTTCTTTAATGCTAAACGAGCTGTATTCGGAAGACACTGAAAAAGATCGTGCGCCTTACAGGTTGTAAATTTGATGGAAATGATTTACATCTTCAAATTTACATCGTTTTGGACACTTACATCATATATACATCAAATTTACAACCTTTAAAGCGCGCGATTTTTTCCAGTGAGACATCAAGCTGACAGACAAGAAGACTTCAAAACACATGAACACAGGCAAACTAAGAAAACTAGGAGAAGTTACAATTGTAACGAGCTGCATTCAAGAAACATCAAGCTGGCAGACAAGACGAACGCCGAAAAAACACGACATGTATGGCATAAATCGACTCAATAGACACATAATATATTATATATATATTTTACCGACATAAAACCTACTGATTAGCGAAACAACCACACATGTCTATACTGTATCGACCTGGCCTTTAGCGATTTTCATGTTGCATTTCATATCAAATCCAGTCAATCCATCATATAGCTTGCTGCCATTTAAGTCTTTGGCCTTCAAAAATTATTTAATTTATTTATTTCCATATGTATAGATAAACAACGAATGCGTTGTTTTCGTTATTCTTTTGAATTTGACAAATGAGGCAATTCATATCAATGTGTGCATTGCTCACATTCCTACAAAATTTCAAAAGGATATTTAACAATACTGGCGAGGTCTAGTAGCAGCTGAAAAGATGTACTGAAACAAGACAGAAATATAGTCACTTCATAGATAATTACTGCAATGGTAAAAAATACAAAATACATCTAAGATTAATTAGAATTAGCATACTAGGAGTCAATAGTTAACTCAATTTACACCCTGCAGAAATAAACTGCAAATTGGTCTTTCGACTTCAGTTCAAATGATTTTTTCTTTATTCAAAAACAGTATCTCGCTGAAACCATACCTTTCAAAAAGAAGGAAAAAAATTGCCTGCATCATCTGGTAACAGAAAGCACGAGTCACGACAATCTGTTAAAAGAAAGAAACTGCCAAAAAAGATACGACGGAGTACTATATATCATCAATTTTTAGATTGATCAACGCCCCCAGCTACACCATCTGTTCGACCGTCATAAAACCTACTGATTACCGAACCAACCATACAGGATATCCATACTGTATAGATCTGACATTTAGTAAGACATCAAACAAACTTGTCAGCACAATTTACACTTTGCATTCCATATCACATTCAATTGTTGTGGTCATAGCTTGCTGCTATTTTAGTCTTTCGCCTTCAAAATGGAAGACAAAATCGCTCGTGTGTGCTCACCAACAAAGTCTACCATCTTGATTTCAACAGTGATGCTGTTATTATGTTTGGGCCAGTTTTTTCTCGTTGAATTTCTTTTAAACAAGCAAATGGCAAGAGTCGATAACTTGGAAAGGATGAAAGCACAACGCGACAAGAATACCGCAGATATTGAGAACATCAAGTCGATGTTAAATGCTCAAGTCGCAAGAATGAATGATTTTTACAACCAAATCAACAAGGATCCTATTTTTGATCTGAAAAGAAAGAAAAGAGCTACCATACCAGATGAAGAACAAATTGCGGCTGATTTGGCTGAGCTCAAACGGTACATTTTACAGATCATACAAGAATTAGGAGACTTGCAGTTAGAAAAGGAAATACCAGGACCGAGAGGACCACCAGGTCAGTCCGTAGTACCACCACGATCAGTAATTAT